TCCTAGCCTCCAGCTCCCTCTCCCTCATCTGTTCTAGGTTCAGTTGCTTCACATATGGCAAAAGCTTTTGTAGCAAGTACTTTGTATGCTGAACCTTTTCATCCTCGCTAACATTCAGTTCTAAATCCTTAAATGGCTGTAGTGAATCATGAACCATTGCTCATATTTCCGACATAAATAAGTACCAACAAGACATTTAAAAAAAATAAAGGGACAATATGGTAAGAAGAGAATCTGACATTTTTGGCAAAATTTAGACGCAAGCATGCTTTACAATTGCAATTATTGCGACAAACTGGGCACTGATTAGCAATTTCATCCTCTTCCATCCGAGGATACCTGCACATCAAGATATCAAAAACCTCTACAATGTCAAAAGAATAGACACATATATCTTATAAGCCAAATAAACAAAACCATCCCAGATCCAGAAATTACATGCTTAATCAATCAACACCTAAGTAATTCAAGTAGGTACTGAGCAACTCCATCTTCTCTATGGAAGTTTGGCGTGCAGTTTCAGGATCAATCCTAGGACTAAATAGATACATTTTCACAAAGTGAAATACAAACTTCCGGAGTATCTACTCTTTGTTGCAAAGTTTAGCCTAAGTCTAAACATCTCATGCAGTAAATTATTTTCATTAAAAAAAAATTGAAATAAATTTCTATCTCTATCACACCAAAATTATTCTCAACAACCCTTTGCCATAGTGTATCCCTTTCTTTCATAAACCTCCATATCCATTTCTCTTGGAACTCCCTATTCATCTCTGATAGATTTAAGGCCCGGTTCCCCCCCGATTAAATTGCCTTTAATTTGTTTCTTATGCCACCAAGTGATATTTCCTTTTCTCCTCTGAGTCACCCCATAAAATATGCACTGAATTGCTTCCATTTTCTTAGCAACAGTTACTGGAATTGTTAATAGGGACATATAGCACACTGGTAAGTTGGATATCTTTCTACATCCAGTTTCAGTGTTGCCATGCATGGGAAAACCCTATACAGAAGAGGAACAAAAATACCTAGATAACCAACATAACAAGATTTATCATATACCTACGAAGCATGATAAAATTGGTAATGGGATATTGTCATGCTGAGAAAGAGAAAACTTATATTTTGAAAAGAAAACGAAAAAGTTAGTCAAACAATCCTCCCTTCCCTGTGATCTAGCCACCCAGTCAAACTTTGGAATATGATGAATTTGAAGGAGAAACACAGAATGCATAACAAACACTGTCCACATCTAGAAATTTACTAAACAAGTAAATTTTCAACGAATAATAAAGGCGGCATAATCAATACCGGAAGGAAAAGGAGACCATCAAAAAAAATTTTTTACTAACACCCAAGAAAGGGAAACAAAGAAAGTCATAATTCACGGAAATGTACCAAGTCTTTAAGCAGGGGATACAAAATCGCTTCCTCTTGCAAGTCTGGCACCGGACAACCCTCCCTTTATCATTCCTTTGACACTGGTGGCACATCATAGACTTGTTCGCAATCCACTAGATATCAGAAACAAAAAAATTTCTTTGAGAAACAGTTAAATATATCTGTAAAAATCATAGCCAAGAAAAAAATAAAGGTCGTACTACTGGATCTTTTTTCGTTATTTTCTTGTCGTTCTCCTCATCCCCTTCCTTTGGAACTCGTGAAGGCCTCAGGGAATGACCCGCCAGCTTGCTCTGTTCTGAAGAAGTCAGACCCTCTTCAGATTCATTAGCTGTCTCTTCGCCTTTCAGTTCCTTCCTTTGCAATGAACTTTTAGTATTTTCTGGGCATCCAACAATTGAACGACCTTTCTTCCCACGCTTCTTTGGTCTTCTTTGATCCGCCTTGTTCCCATCCTCTTCATTTAAATGACAAATTCGCTCTTCTCCATCACCATTATCACCATCTTCATTAACATGCTGGTTGACCTTAACACTTTGGTTATGCTTGTTCACAGAAGCGCCATCACCGTCCTTTCCACTCTCACCAGCTTTTCCCTTTTGAGACTTCGGGCCCTTCTTCTTCGGTCTACCCTTTGTTCCACGGAACTTCTTAGGAGAGAGCCGCCCATATTCTTCATCAGAAATATCAAGCTCTTGTAGAAAATTCTCATCATAATTCACCCTCTTAGCAGCGTTTCTGCCTCTCTTCCTCGACGGGCCTATATTATCTCCGTCGGACCGACCAAATTGGCCGTTTTTCTTCACAGAGACTTGCTTGTCCTCCAGTTCCATAGATGTCGCTTTCTCATCTAAATCCCCACTATCCACACCTAGCTTAGCGTCCACCAACTGATTCCCAAGGAATTTCAGCTCTTCATCACCTCTGTTTCCATCCACCTTCACAACAACCCCTCCATCACCACATTCCGACTTTTTCCCACCGATGTTTTCGTCCTTCTGGTCTAAGAAACCCGACCTTTCGGCAACTTTGACCTCCTCCTTAACAGAATTAACCTTTCTCCTGGAATAAACCTTGGGTTCAAACACTACAGACCGCTTTGTAGAGGCCCCTTGAATTGCCCCCCCAACATCGAGACATTCTTTCACCTTCTCTTCACTATCTGGCTCTTGAATTCCCCCAACAGTACGAACAGAAGTTCCATCTCGATCATTCGAGTGGCGATTGGGCAGAACCCTATCGAATTCCTGTGTGTCCGTGCGCTCATTTGAGACGTTCAAATTTTTGCGCGACCGACCCCGCTTCCCTCGCCGAACCATGATATACGAGCGAGAAATCAATGAGAAAGAAGAAGGTAGCAGAAGGAATTAGACGGAGAAGCAAGAAAGGGGAAGGAAGAGAGAAGAGAGTATCTCTATTACAAGTTCTGATATCAAGTAAGGGTTTGGGTTTCTGGGGGAAGAAACAGTGGGTGGGTTTTGAAAACTGGCGCCAGAAATGTCAGACAGAGATTATTTACGTATTTAGCGAACTGGTTTCGTATTCCTTCTAAACTTGAGTACTTATTAACTGTATCTGGTCTGCATCTTTCTTGCTTGCCTTCCGCTCTGGAACTAGAGGAATATTCTGGTCTTTTTCTTAAGGGTAAAAAGTAATATTATTAACTTTTAAAGTCCCATTCCACAAATTTAATTTAGGAATCTTTTAATTTTTAAAGTAAGAATATTATGTATTGTTTAAAATCTTTATTTTTTCAAAATTTAAAAATTATATATATAATTTATTTCCTAAAGTATTATATATCTTGTCTTATTATTTATTTTAGATGGTTGTAAATTTTATACATTAAAAAATTTTGTTTAACTCTTATACTTATCCAATCTCACCTATAGATTATGAAATTTTTTATAGAAAATAAATATTAAAGATAGTTGTTCGACTTTTTAAAAATTAAATTAACTATTTAAAAAATTAAAATTATATTATTTAAAAATATATGATTTTCTTATGCTGCATGATCTTACATATCATGTCTATTTTAAAAATTAATTTATTTTAAATTATATATTAACTTAATTTACAAAAATAACATCTTTTGACATATCCAAAGTTAATTAAAACTAAGTAATACAAATATAGTATGGTTTAAAATATAATTTCCAAAAATTAGATTCTTTTACATGTTTAATGTTTAACTTCAAAGTTTTGTGATTTATTTATGATATTAAAAAAAACACATATTTAATTATATTTAACATTAAAATGTCCTCTCTCCGTATTTTGAAAAATACTCTAATCACCTTATATGATACTATAATCATTTAAAGCAACATCATATTTGTTTAAGAAAGTGATTACTATAATCACATATGCTAATAAAATAAATATATTTTTCTTAAAGTTTCATTTTATTTTAAAATTTCTTCCACACAATATTTCAATCTTAAAACATATATACAATAATTTATGCCAAAAATTTCTTTTGAAAAATCATAAAAAATTATTTAAAAAAAAAAAATTCAAATGAATTTTCATGAGTGAAAAGGTTAAAAAGAAACTATTTTGGGCTACCAGCCAGGAGTTACATGATTTACATAAAACATAAAACAAATCTAAGAAAAAAAAATTATTCTTGATTTTTAATTTGTTTCTCTTCTTGTTGATGCTTTTATAACCTTTTAGAATTTGTTTTTACCATCTTGATTAGCGCTTACTAGCTTAAAAACTTAATAAGTATCATTAGTACAAAAATAAATTTAAGTTATTCATCAAAATCAATGAATTTAATTTAACCCTTATAACTAGTTATAAGACGTTCAAAATTCTAGTGACATATATTCTTCTTGTATTTGTCTATTTCTCTTTTATGCAATCAATACAAATATGAAAATCTATTAATCAAGTGAACCTTCATCTCACACAAATCTTTATATTCATTGCTTAGATATATGGGCTAAACATTTATGCTACAACGTAGTGGAATTCTCTTTGGTTTATTTTTCATTTGTACTAATTAAACTTGAATGCAAGGTTTCTTTAAATGAGGCAACCGTATTAAACAAATATGGTTATCATGAAAAGTTAAAGAATCTATACCAGTAACTTTTGAATTTTTAAAGGACAAAATTTTTTTATTTTTAAATGAACAGAATAAGTATATTTATCGGAAAAAAAATGAAAATTAAATTTCATTAAAGTGACAGCATAACATGTATTTCTTATAAATTTTAATAATAACCGGTATTTAATAATAACCTAAAAGGCAATGGTCTCAACTTCGTCCACTTTTCCATCACCTATATAGACGTATTATTCAAGATTATTATTTAGTATGCAAAGTCATGCAATCTTCTATAGAGATACTTATGTTAATAGTAGTATCAAAATTCATCCATCAAATATGTTGGAGTACATAAATTAAATTAACACAGAACAAGTCAAAGTGAGAAGTGTACATTTCTTAGCAAAATTCATTGTGATACTTGGTACAATCTTTCTTTATATGGCCACCATTCTTACAAAAGAAATAAGTAAACTCCTAATCTTGTTGCTTATGTTTACTCCTTTAAGGCGAAGCACCTGCAGGTTCCTTACTTATGTAATTTTTCTTGTTTTTTATTCTTAGAAGTTGATGTTAAATGAGCACTTTATGTTTTCTCATTGCTTAAGTCTGTCATTCTCTTGTATGTAGTGAGAAATGAGCTTATTTATGGCCCATGTATCCTTGCAGCATTTATAACTGACATTGAATTTATTGTATTATGCATGGAAGTATATCAAAATAAAAATGCATGAGTAAATCCTCAGACAACCTTAACTTTATTGCATCTAGTTATGGTGTAAGATAAGACATCTCTATGATGTACTCTCTTATATTTCTCTTTTTTTAGACCTCATTAAAACAAGGTCAATCAAAAGCATACTTGTCTCAACCTTCGTTTTCTAAGAAAACATTTTTCTACTTTCTTAAGGAATTGTTTGACATCAATCTCTTAAAATATAGTGTCCTGAAAGTTTCTGAAATTGCATGCTTAATGATCCTTAGACTCATTCAATTAGAACGATCATACTCCTTACCCTTTGTTTGGATCATTGTAAATGGTAGAATTTTAATGCATGGTATTTTAGGGGCGTGAGAAAATCTTATTTGTTTCAACTTCCAATAGTAACAAATGGTATTTGATTTGTAAATTTTAGGGTGAATTTTGAAACCACTAAATTGGTGGTATTTGGTGGGCATTCTATTTGTTTCTCGTTATACCCTCATCTAATTTAATTAATTCCATATATGTCATAACAATTAAAAACTCATTAAATTAATATAATAATATAAATAATAATTATTTATTTTATTAAATATAAAATTTTAATTTGATTATGTATAATAATTATTTATTTAAATACAAATATCATTATATTGATAAATAATTTTTTTTTCATTACATACTTTTTTATATTATTTACTATTATATATAATATGTAGAAGTAAATTAGAAATTTAGTTAAAAATACAATTATACCATTCTATCATCCAAACAAAAATATTTCATTAACATACATTAATATATCATCAATCAAACGTAAAAAAATTTGTTATTACAATCCTATGTTATTGTCATTCAATTACTGTCATTACTATACATTAATTAACTATTACTGAAATTTATCCAAACAAAGCCTTAAAGTTCTTTTTATCATCATTTGAACTTTTAGTGGTAGAAATAATAAGTCACTATATTTGAAGTGCAAAATCTAGAATTATGCAACAAGGAACTATCATAAGTTCTCTTTTCAATTCATGAAATTTGTGTCATTTTAGCATAGAGATGAGTCATTCTATCTAA